CCCCACTCTTTCCGTCGCGTTGGTCTAAGTCCTCGAGGCGGAGAGAAAGGAACCAGAGTGATGGACGGCTACCTGTGGCGTTGCCAGGTGGCCTCGGTCACGTGGGTTCGTGACGTAAGGGGTAAAAGAATCTTGAGGTCATGGGGCTTCCCCTGACCTGGATTCTATCTCTCCGTCACCGGCAGAATCGCTGATTAATGCCTACAGTTCAAAATAGTCATTTTGACTGACTGGAGTCTATGGTGGGTATGAACTATGTGAATAGGCGGGTTCGAAGAACCCTCGCCTAAATTTATAAATAAGATGAACTTTCCTGATTTGAAACTGGGCAATTTTGTCTGTTTATCCGAGTAATAAATAAACATCTTGTTTGATTCAGGAACTTAGATTTTCACTCAGATGCAAGGCCTGATATTAGCCTTATTAAAAAGCATATACAGGTATGTCTTGGACACCATAGTCAACATGTATCACCTTTCACAACTTAAAAACCTTCATATTTTCATCAACATGTGTGTGTACAGTGTATATAGCCACAAATCAACAAAAACCTTTTAGAAAAATACTAGGACATAATAATGTGAACAATTTTGGTGGTGGAGTTAAACCTATAACACAGACTACTTTATGAAGACTATTTTTGCTGTAGGAATAATTTCAACAATCAAAATTTTGAAGTTTTATCCAACTCTGGGATTGTCATTTTTTTGTCATATTCTTTCAATGGTCTGTTAAAACTGACCTGATAGCCTCAAATAATCATTATTTTCACATGAACACCACAGTACTAGTAATCTACATGCATGTGTTCTCTGCAAATAACTTTAAATAGGTTCATCTAAATAAGGATTAAAATTCCATTAGAACCAGTTTTGAACAACCTTGAGTATTCTACCAACAACCTGTTACTACACTATACACTAATTCATAATTCTTGTTTGTCTTTATAGAAAGCAGTTCATGAGATGGACATGGCACATGGGATGCTTGGTAGTCTATTTAGAAGTGGTAAGAAGAATTTTACATACAAACTTTGTGTAAATGAATAACTATACCTAACACGCATTGTGTGAGATCACTACTTGTTATAAAATATAAATGATTATTTTGTAGTAATGTAAATATATTATAATTTGTCTTTGAAGAATTTGTTATCTGCCCTTGGCTCACTTTCTCAAATTGTTTAAGATGGGCAAATCCTTCTGGAGAAATTCTTTGAGAACTATTATGTGTTTATTCGGTGGCATTTCAAAGTTTTGACACTATATATCGCCTAAGGTTATTTTTCATGCCAAATCCTTTTTGGAAATTTCCTTTAATTATCTTTTGTAGCTGAAAAAAAATTGTGGTAAGATTTAATTGTTTTATGACTGAATAACAAAAAAGAGTGTTTTGTTTGTAAAATCTATAAAAGTAGTTCAAATAATTTTCATTAATTTATTGTTCCAGGTTCAAGGCAAACATTTTTCGCTAGTCAGGTGACAAGATATGCTGACTTGTATGCATCGACTTTCCTCAATCTCCTTCATTATCCATTAAGTTACTTTTACAGAGCTGCACCCATGCTGGTAAGTCTACGTTATCAACTCAATTCTACCATGAAACACTCCTTGATTCTCTCCTTAGCTCCCACACATATTTAGCCCCCTTTGAAAATGGAAACTGAATAGCATCATTTCTGTCCGTCCGTTTGTTTATTTATTCGTCTTCTGGATTGTTTCAACAATGAATTACTGGCACTAGTATTGAACGTGTGAGGTTCATATTCTTGCTTTGGTATACAGTTATAAACCTGTATTATTGACCACTTCTATATAAAAAAGACAACCTGCCTATATTATTGCTGATTCCCCTTTGTTGACAGACCCAAATATTAATTAGCATTCCTTTATAACACGCTTTTAAAATTTTCTCAAGTTATACGATCAAGTTATTTCGATCAACTCAAATAAATGTGTTTTTGTTGCAATAGTACCATCTCATTATTTTTTGGACAATTATTTCATCAAATGTACAAGTTGGTGATCCATAAAACAAATAATACAACCTCCATACAAAGATGACCTGTCTATAAAGACCATTTTAATGGAGTCCCTTGGTTGGTTTCTATACACAGGTTTGAATATACTAGGTGGTATGTCATAGCTAAGCATTTTGTATATCACAACTCCTATTCTTTACAGTTGCTATAGTTCATTATTCTCAATTGTATACAATATACAATGTTTTTTCTTCAGATGCCACACGAGTCAACTGTTGACCACTCAGATGAATTCCATGATGATTCTCCAAGTCCGCTGGTCTCCAGGGCACGTTTTAACAGCTTTGATCCAAACATAACGACAGAGAAACGACCACCCGTATTGCGTTCAAATACAATTGGAGCTACAAACACAAGAGCGAAAACACCAATAAATATTACTCATGTTCATGATGATGATGATGATGAGGAATGAAATGGTTACCACGGTTACTGGGTGATGATATAGGTGTACATTGAATTGCTCGCCGTTTGTGGCCATCATTAAATCCAAGAATCTTTACATCAAATATTATAATATTTATTATCATTTCTGTTTGTTATTTTTTTCTTCTTAAATTTTTATAAAGATATTTACGAAATTAATTTGCTTTAGTTAGTGTATTGGCTTCTGATTATCAGAAATTTTAAAAATATGTTTGCCCCAAATTTTGTGAGTAGATTCGCCACCCTAACATTACCAAGTGATTTTTTCTCACTTTTTATAAGATTATCATGAATTTCTATTTTAGATTAAATTGGGCAGAAAGTACCGTATATATGGTCGCTACTTACATGATGATAATATTCACTTACAAAATAAAAAAACAGGCATAAAGTCTGGAACATAGTTGAAATAGTTAATGAGCTTCAATGTTGAAATGTCCATTGAAACTATTGAATTCTGAGTTTGATGCATCAAAAAATCCATTTTTTAGGCAAACATTAACACTTTTAAATAGTGTAATATAAATAATCTGCTGTTCACCTTTTGTATTTTTCAAATTTAATAGCTATATTCATGTGCAAAATATCGCCTCCAAATTATTTTGCTATGATGACGACTATGAAAATATAAAAATATAATAATAAAAGAACAACCCCAGAAGTGTTCAGTTCACTACCCTTTTGGATATCATCATATATTAATGTCGAAGCGGTATTTCTTTTTACAATGCTCGGTGAGTTTTATTCATTTTAAATCTGTCTCTTAATATTGTAGCAATATTTGATACATGATACTTGAAAACAATAAGTCGCATTACTCCAAATACATTAAATTATTTAAATAGGGTGGAAAAAAATAAGGTTGTATATCTTCATTGTTATAGAAAAAGATTTATACAGGAATGCTAAGTATAGTAATAAGACATATGTTAAATAATGAATTATATTATTATTATATATACTGTGTAGTACATGTATATTGCGATGTAACAAAATTTCATACTGTGTACTGAAAAATAATGTAGATAACTTTAAGTAATTGATGAGAAGGACTTCCACTGTATTTAGTGTATACATCTTTTTTTTATTATTCTATTTCATATTCAAATAAAAAATCTGTTGAAATAATGATCACCATTATCATATATATATATATATCACAATATATTAGTGTGGTATAATAGGTGAAGTTTTACTAGTTAGGAAACTCGTATAAATAAAAATATGGCTGCATGCCATAATAAATGTTTATTCTTACAATATTTATAGTAATTGTATGAAAGATTAGAATTTATATAATAGTTTTTAATATACATGCTCTAATGCTGCAAATATTTGTAGTGATATTTGAGTGATATATGCTGCTATTGTATCAACAGCTTTTCTGAAGACAAATGTAGTAGTGGCCATGCCAGGTCAACAACATAACAAATTACAGTAAAGAGTAGTACTTTTTAGACTAACTGAAATCAAAAAGGCATAAGGTTTTGTAGCTACCTGTACACTCTATTTTATCAGATGCATGGCGAGGAAAATAGAAATGTTCTTTCGTCATCAGCGTTGATGTCATTGTCACTGTCTTTAGGCTATGATAACTTCAGCCATTAATGAGATGGAACGTAATTGAACCATTGTCTTGAGTCTATTGATATCAATCATTGCTGAAATTACCTTGCACAAGGCTCAATACAAACATTTGATTCCATCCATCAAATCATCTATGTACTACTGTTATAGTATCTTGATTATAAATTTTAAACCAGTTACCATAGTTTTATTGAACTTTTTCAACATTTTTTTAAAAAGCAGTATAATATATTGTTTTGTTTTTTTATCAGAACAATACTTTTTTATGCTGAACATTTATTGATGGTAGATGTTTATATTTTTTTTCAATTTTGTTAATATTATTAATTAAAAATTACTATAATCTTTAAATTGGATTTTAGTTATTATTCTGCATATAGGTGTAATAAGTGGTCAACTAAAGCATTTATCAATAAACTAAATTTTTGAAAAATGTTATACAAAAAATTATTCCATAAATACTCTTTTTTTTTTTATGGAAAATAATTATTGCACTCATCCAGCACACCAATTTAGTTTATTTTTTCGATGAAAACTAAACAGAACATTGTAAGTAAGTAAGTATAAAGTAAGTAATTTAATTGTAAGTTGTAAAACATTTTAATAGATATTGACGTATTATCCCAAAATCTTTACTTCCCACGTAACTTTGTTCTTTCTTTCTTTAATTTTAAAAATATATATAATAGCTGAAAACAAGTCAGAAAATTATTCAAGTTTATTTCTGAGATGAGCTGAGTTGACAAATATTTTTTTTTAGAACACTGTTCAGTAATTCACTTGTGATCATCTGCCATGTTATTGTTACTTTTATTTTTTATTCAAGTCATGGTGCTATACTATGAAGAACGTTTTCCATTTTAAAAAAAGCTTTGAACCATATGTAGTGTATATAAATATAATTTGATATTTGTATTTATAGAATATGAAGTTTTGATAGATAGTGGTCCAAAATGCTTCATTGTTATTTTCACAAGTTGAAAAATTTGGAAACTGTGTATGCTTTCCCATGGTATATATTTCCCTACTTTGTACAGATTCTGCTTCCTTATTTTGGGATGCATATTATGTATGCTTTCCTCAGGGTACCCTGTTAATTCATATGGATTCCCCTTCCTTGTCTTTTGATGGATATTATGTAATTATGTATACTTTCCCGGGGTTTGTACATTCTTAATTCGTATGGATTCCACTTTATCTGCCTCTACCTACACAGACTTTACGGTAATATGAATATATCCACTCTACAAATGTCTGTGTACGGTTAATTCTAGAACCTTATTGGCCATTCTGATTCTCTGCCAATACACAGATCACTGCAGTGATGAATTAAGGGAAATGAAATATCTACCTTTCTGCCAATTTAGTGATATCAATGATCTTTGCATGATTTAATGTGGTAATTTCCAATCTACTAATCAAGTTTACGAAAAAATCAACCATGATTGCATTATTTTGGTATCATAAGACATAATTCATACACATCATACGTTGTGTTACGCTTTGACCCACCATGTATGACAATTTTAGTTGCAATGGATGCATGTTCATCTCAATTTATCATAATTTTTTCCCATGGGGGAAATTTTTGATTTCAGATAGCAATAATTGTTTTGTTTCTGGAAAACGTTGTATGATATAAGGAGCTTGTATATGTATTCAGGTCATGTACTGAAATAAAGTTTATTGTTAACATAAATTGTTATTGTCTTGTGTAATTTGAGCACCACATTTTGTGAATTGGTCAATTTAGCACATGTACCAAATCTCCTGAAAGCAGTTCAATTTCAGAGCCAACTGTGTTTCGGTAATTGAAACCAAGTGCCTGAATCTTACATTCATTCAAATTTTAGCTGTGACGCCTGGAAGTGCACTGTAATCCAAGTAGTCATTAATGAACAACAAATCTCCTGTACTGTACTTTCACTGACAACAATGACTGGCCCATATCCAGTCAATTTGTATGACATTGAAAACATCAAATTCATTACTTTTATTTAGTGTGACAATATACTACACAGTGTCCAGTGAAAAATGTAAACAAATTTTATTACGACAACAATATACTGCCTATAAAAATATGGAATTTTAACCAATTGCCTGCGCCCCTACAATTTTTCTTTGTATAATGAATCTATAAATTTGGTCCATAATTGTCAACATAAACCAGCAATGTTTTTTTTCAAAAATGTTGATCAAGACCTGCATCTTCATTTCGTCCAAAATTTTAAAAAAACATAACAATTTTATACCAAAATTATAGCCCATAAGGGGGTTAAAGTTATTAGTGGGCACACATGGACAGAACCCATCCTATAAGCTCTTCATTTCAGGTCAACTAGTTTTACAAGGGAATAACAATGCTTAAACTGAATTGGTATTGACACATCATACACTTTTCAACCCCCCCCCCCCAATATATTAGTGATGAACTGGCATGGACATGGCATTTTTGTCCAAATCTCCAAAAAACCTAAGCATGATTATCATCCCATATTTGATCAAAATTGCTTCAGTCATCATTGAAAACAGCTCCAGTATGAAGGTGGCGGCAAAGTATACCCTTGGCGGTGATAATGCATGTGGAATCCTTTCGGTGTACAACGATGGTGTATTAATTTTACCAGCTCATCACTATGTTAGCAGATTGCTCCAACAAGCTGGTGATGTTGAATTGAATCCAGGACCCGATACCAGGCAATCAACATTAACCAAGTCAGGGACTCTTCAACCGGCATCCGCACCCAGTAAACAACCTGAGGATGGAGCCATGATGTCAATTTTGCGAGACATTCAAAGCAATATGAAAGACATGAAAATGGATATGAAACTAGTAGATAAGAAGATCGATAGGATGGAATCCAAGCTGATTAGAGTAGAAGAGACAGTCACAGTAGATGAGGTGAGGCAAACTGCTGAGGGAAACAAAGAACGTTTGAATAAGGTAGAACACTTGGAAGACGTTATCGGTGGACTGAAAAATGATATAAGCGTCCTAACAACACAGAAGTCAGAACTGGAAGACCGTCAAAAACCCGGGTCAAAAACGAAATAACATCGTAATTCGCGGCATAGATGAAGATCCAAACGATTTCTGGAATCAATCAATCAATTGTTAGCCGAGAAATTGAATATTACAGGTGTTGATTTTGAAAGAGTTCACAGGGTTGAAACCGGAGTCCGGGGTAGGAGACCACTTATTGCAGGGGGGGGGGGCAAGGGTTATTTTCGTTCAACGTAATTGCAATATTTTTTTGTTCGTACAACGTAAATTGAAAAAATAAATTCCGTAATTCTGTAATCACAGGCTAGACGTACAACGTAATCAATCAAATATTTTTTTCGTACACTATATAAATGTGTCATTTTTCTCGGTACGTACAAGAATTTACATCCAAATAA